AACACGTACAACGTAGGCAGGCTATGGCAGTGTAAACTCCTTCCAGTGCCCTGATACGTCTTACGCTAACCTGGTAGAAGCAGCTCAGTTTCCATGGTTGTTCATTACTTGTACCTTCTGTTGAGGCCGTTCTTTAATGATGTGGAAATTTGTTCATTAGGAGCTAGGAGACCAAACGCACTACATCAGTGATGCTCAGCCTGAGGTACAACGTAGGCAGGCTATGGCAGTGTAAACTCCTTCCAGTGCCCTGATACGTCTTACGCTAACCTGGTAGAAGCAGCTCAGTTTCCATGGTTGTTCATTACTTGTACCTTCTGTTGAGGCCGTTCTTTAATGATGTGGAAATTTGTTCATTAGGAGCTAGGAGACCAAACGCACTACATCAGTGATGCTCAGCCTGAGGTTCGCAAGCCACAAGTGGCTCTTTAATATGTCACCTGTGGCTCTTTAATATGTCACCTGTGGCTCTTTGCAGCACATGCTATTAAAACACTGTGTAAAATACATGGTATTAACCAAGCAGGATGCTTTTACTATATTATTGACCAAATAATAATACTTGGTCATTTGTATATACATATATATATGGTAGTAAATTAAACAAGGAATTCACACTACTATGGCTCTTTTGAGTAGATTGCTAATTTGGCTCCTAACAGTCTGTATCACTGTTTTTGGTTGAGCAAAAGAAAAAAAAGGGACTAAACTTGTTGAGCAAAAAAAATCCCCATGCTTCTCCAGCCCCCACCAAACACGGCAGAGGAAGAATGTCCCAAGTGGCCTTCCATCCAAGAAAAACAGAGAATACTGGACATCTGGCAACCCTAGCCACTCCCCACATTCAGCTCAAGGTAGCTGGGGCATTTAGTCCACGACTGTATAAACTATTCTGCCTCCGGTAGTGCTGTGTGATTAAGCCTGACACCTGAGGCAGCCTGAGAGTCACACTTTTTAAAAACTAAAACTGAATTTGAAAATAAATAGTGTCCACTACACTTGGCAAACGGAGCTGAGTCAACATATGTGATGCACCTAACACAAACTGTTGTGATGCGCAGGCATGTGTATTAGAATAAATGCTTCCTCATGCATGATGAGATGCCTAGCAGCACAGAGCCCAAAACCAACATTTTTGGCAAGCTGTAGCCATTTTAACCTCTCATACTCTCTCTCACACACATAAACACACATACACAACTCCTTATCGTTGCACATACTATCGGAGACCTTGTGGCTTTTGAGATTCCATGACCACAGACTTTACAATATAATGTCCACAGTAGAACAGTTGTTCCCTGGGTTTCCCACAGAACAGTTGCATGGGTGTTAATAGAGGGGAAAAGTTTCAGAAGCCCTAATACACCTGAAAAGCCTAATTCCTGTTTTCAAAAGTGACAGGCGCTCACAAGCCTTAATGCAGTTGCAGTAGGGTTGCAAACTTTATAATGGCACAAAATGGAACACCTCTACCCTACCCCTTCCTCAAGGTCATGCCTCCACTCATGCCATTCCCCCCCCCTCAGTCGTTTGCTCTGCCCCCTAGTAACTTTCACTGGGCTGGCGCAGGGATTTGGGGTGGGGGAGGACTTCATCTGGGGATGCAGGCTCTGGGTTGAGCAATAAAGCTTTTAAAATATCTGCCCGAGTGCCAGTGTTCTCATGTCACTTTTGAAAATGGGCCTTAGCTTCCTCCCCAAATTATTTAAGTCTTTTCAAAAATTTTACGCAGCAGTCATCTAATTAGTGCACCCTAGAGAAAACGCATGTTGAGAGCCCAAGATGTGGGTGAAGGTAAGACAGGCTTCCAAATGTACATGAGGCAGCAGCAGAGCCGGCCTTACATATACACAGAATATGCAGCTGGTAGGGCACCTGAAAATTTGGGGCACTGGGTCTTATTGGCCACACACCTGTCTTTTCCTATTCCTGTTCTGTGGCTCTGCTTCTTCCAGAGTGGATCTAGTTAATTTAAAAGTAGAAAAGCTTGCCAGAGCTATTAGCAGACACTGAAATGCTGAAGGAGCCATTCAAGTGGTAAGGAAGCCCACCTCAGATATATACTGTCAATTTCTGCATTTAATTAGTCTACAGGGCCTTAGTTTAAAATTTCCTTTAAAAATGTCATTAGTGTGTTGCTAAAGATTATAAAATCACATCTCTACAAAAATCATTCCCCCCGCCCCAGGCTGCCATTGGGGATAGGGCATCCATTTAACAGTGCTGTGTAGGATTCCATGAGCACACATCTTGCTGATGAATTCTCTACACCTGACTGAAGAGATGATATTTTTGCAGAAAAAGTAAAACCCTTTAACCTAACTTATATTGAGAGAGGCTAACAGCTTGCTCTGGCAACGAGTATTTTCATTTGTGTGTTGCTGCATGTCCTGTTCTCTATACATGTGTTCACTTTTGTACCTGGTGCACGTGGTGGTTTGACTAGAAACAGTTGTAAAAGGCTGTGAAGATGCCACACACGGTTAAGTGCTGAATACTATTTGTAACAGTCCCCGGAACTGCATTATGACCCCGCTTGGGTGTGACTAGAAGTGCTTACAGGCTGGTGGTCATTCTATGCCCTGAAAGTCAAATTATTTGCTGGCCCCAGACCAGGCTCATCACACACAACATAACCACAGACAAAACAACCCCTACCACCATCACAGTAGCTAATCAATGACTTTCTTCTTATCTCAGCAAATAAACCAGCGTTTCAAAGAGCCTTAGAGTGTCCTGCCCTCTTCTCTCGCCACACCCCCGAGAGTCATGTTTCAGGCATGTCAAGGAGGAAGGTGTTGCTTGTATGCTGGCACTGACTGCTGCATTTTGTGGCTAGGTACAGAGGCCTCTCCAGGACTGAACGCCTATCTCCTTCCACAGGAACTAAACATATTTTTAAAACGTGAAAGACCCATTAAGTGCATTTACTCCTAATGATTCCAGTGCTGGGGAAGCGGTAAAAATTGAGTTGTTACTAGGCTAAACGCTCACCTTCATGCTTTGCCAACCTAACGACTATGGAAGCAATACTGTTAATGTGCAACACCGTGCTCCCCTGCACTTTGTCAGGTTCCCTTAAAATAAGTCAATATATTTATAGTGAGGCAACCTTCCCGCCATCTTCCTGCATGCCACAGCGGCTGATCTTTTGAAAACATACGCGGCTTATCAGTGGTAACACATTTACAACATCGGCAGATAGGAAATGCCTTCGTGTTACTATAAAGGCTTGAAATTGCCGAACAGCTGAGGAACGACAAGGTAAAAAACCAGAGTTGTTTCTATAAAGATGGCAAATTACAGAAAAGTGCCAATTTAAACAATTCCATCTTTGAAAGTATTAAGGTATTTTGTGTCCCATGTAACAATATATCTAGTCTGTATTTAGAAATGGTTATAAAAACAGGCAACTGGGTTCAGGTGGTTATCATTAGAGAAAAATAAACTGATGATGGAGGAATGTGTCTCAGTGAATAATTTGTTTTCACTTTCTTTGTTCTTCTCTCATAAATTATTCTCAAAAAAGACTGAAAAATCTCACATTTGTGTTACTCAAAAGCATTCTGCTAATTTTGTCATTCTTAGTTGCCACTTGTCAGCTAATTGTCATTATTTACAATGCAAACTGTGTGAGGAACTTGCATTGGTCAGATCATGTTGGTTCTTTGCCCTAACTAGATGAAATATGTAACTACATGCCTTTTGGGAACTAAATGCTCCATTTGACTCTGCCCTCAGTAGAATTTGAGTATTTGAATGTTTTCTGGAAGTGAACATGAAAAGCATGTGGCCAAATTCAAATCTGCTTTCCTAATTCAAAGGAAAATTCACAAATAAATGTTTCCATCATTCGCCCAGCTCTAGAAAATACCTGATGCAACTTCCTTGCCTGTTAAAAGCAACTAGTTAGAATAGTGTCTGTGTCTGAAAGGTGATGCACTTACCCCTTTCTAAAGAAAATATTAAATGAGCTCATTCTACCTCTCATTGATATCATTCTTAATCACCGGGTGACTTTTAATTCTCATACAAGTGAACGGTTGATAGGGTTGGTCTAGGACAAACTGGTCATTATGTCAAACAGGGAGCAGTTTTTGCACTGTCTTACTTACATCGTGTCTAGCAACCAGCGAGTTTGACACTACATTTGTGGTGGGGAAGTCTGGATTCAGCTGATTATTCCTTTTATGGGGATGACAGGAGGTCTTTAGATTGTCATTTATTTATAGTTATCTATAATGTGATAAAAGGAGTTATTAGACTCTTATTCAATCAGTCAAGTTATTCTGCTATGCTGGTCTTATATGTACTCAAAATAAATGTTTAAAGGAATTGTCTTCTTCATACTATGCTGGTCTTATATGTACTCTAAATGTTTAAAGGAATTGTCTTCTTCATTCTCCTTCAGTTCCCTCCCTCTAGCCTAGTTAGAGACTGAAAGGAGCATGTTACTGAACTGTACTATGTCCCTAATGCAGAATGAAACTCACAAAGGCATCCTGTCTAGGACAGCTGGTACTCTGAGATACCAGACCTGTGTGTCTATCGGCAGGGAACATGTCTATGTCATGGATGCATCAGCGTTACCATACTACAGTGAAGCATTTCAAGTGTTCTTTGGGAACACTATGGGTTTTATCTTTAAGTTCAATGGGGATAGGCTTTTACCCCTCTATTTTTATGTCAGATTCTGTAATAGTGTTTCTTCCTAGCCACGTTCTTCAAGGGTGGCAGTAATGTCCCTGTGTAATAAGGAAGATTATTCAGCTGATTTGTATAAATGTTCAGTACTTCATGGCAGTGTAACATGGCTTACAGCAAGTCTGTATATAACAATAAAACAAAACACCCCATGCTCTGCCTTGACCTGTAAGCCAAAGTGCTTTAGAGGGTGAATAACAGTTTCAAGGTTAAAATGTAAAAGGGCAACAGGAGGGAGGAGCGAGAGAGTGGGAGAAAGAGAGAGGTGCAGGCAAAAGAAATGAAGGCAAGGTAGAGAGATGTTGAGCATGTAAGTGACTTTGGCTGTTTCCCTACCTGATGCGTGTAGGTGAGGAGGCTAAAATTGTAATATTAAAAATATTTTCATAAAATTATAAAGGTCAGAGTTAAGGGTGTGCATTGCCAAGTGGCTTTTCAGGTGTTTGCTTTATGTTGTGAGGCTGATAATGTTGCTGCAGTGAAAATGTGGTTGAGTTGTCAGAATAGCGGCCTAACACTGGAAGGTCAGTATTGTATGTGAATGTTACCTTAATTTAATTGGGGTGCAGGAACACACACGTCTCTAAGTTAACAATGGTTGTTATGGGGAATATGTGTAACATCTGGAGAAAGCAGCTGATCCTTTGGGATTCAAGCTCTTTTCTCTTAAACAGAGCATCACTATAAAATTAGGGACACTAGTTCTATTCAGAACATCATCTTAGAGATGTAAATAGTATTGGAGCTGGCAGATATTTGGATTTCATCCTCATTCCTGATCAGGATTTAGAGCTTTGTATTGTAGCAGCAGGACTATATTTTAATGCACTGTGGACAATATCCCACTGGCAGTGCATGCTTGAAATCAATGGAGTTTTCCTTGAGGACTGATGCGAGGATGCGGCCTTTAACAATCACACCTTTATTTCACTAACAAGTGGGGATTTGGGTTCAGTGCGTTTGCCTCTCTGTCTAAAGCACTCTTAATAAGATAAGAGAGCTGTATACCAAAACAGGCACTTTTATTAATGGACACATTCCACATGCCACATGGAATTAACACTAGTTGAGGGAGAAGCAAAGTCCCCCTTTTCACTTACCTTGCAACGTACGCCTGATCCTACATTCCATACGTAGGAAGACATCCCCAGCTGAATGGGTGTTTTTCCTGTATGTGCGCAGACTTTGTTAATAGGGAGATGAGCATAATGTGTATAACTGGATACTCCCCTCCTTGTTTGAGTGACGTGTCACCATATAAAAGAGGCCCTTTTTGAAGTGATTCCAGTGGCTGTAGCTGATAGTGCAGGAGCAAGAGGGTGTCTTCCAGAGACTGAGCCTAGGGAAACTGGAATAGGTTCTAACTACTGAACTTCCCAGCCTATATAAAATGCGTGAAATTGTGCATCTTCAGATTGGCCAGTGTGGAAACCAAATTGGAGCTAAGGTGAGAATTGTTTTCAGTGAGTATCATTAGTAGCAAATGATTTGGGACAATATGGGCATACAGGAGTGATTAAATACGGACTATCATGGAATTCACCTTCAGAAGCATGAGAAGTGAAGGCATATGTTTTAATGTAATAGTGATGAGCTGCTTCATCAGGCAAATGCAAGGCCTGAGCATAAAACATCTGCAGTAGTTATGTGACCATTTGGGTAGGTGACTATTCTCAATGTTCAAGGGTGCGCAAGCCTGCCAAAAAGCTATGGAATGTGTGCAGGTAACTTATAAATACCTGTCTTGCAAAGTTCTAATGAAAATATACTAGTCTAGACACGTCATTTATTCCCCCCCCCCAATATGTTGCTGATTATAATTCATTTTTTAAAAGGTGTTTTACTTGTCCATAAAAAAAATTACTTGATGTGGATAGAAGAGTGAGTAGAATTTTCCCAAGCTGACAGAAAGCAGAGTTAAGGGTCCAGGTTAAAACTCTTTAGAAATGACAAATAAATATATATTTATATTCACATAACTCAAAAACGACTGCACCAAGTACAGTAGAGTTCATACCAAAATAAAATAGAAAAATTCTTAGATAAATAGGGTCAACTGTTTTGGAGAGAGATATAGACATAGATGGCAAGAAAAAGATCATTGATAAAGCACATTATAGTGTAGAAAATAGCTAATTTTTAATTCATTTACAATTAATTAATGGACTGCACATGGACTGCTCATATAGTACAGTAATTACCCTGATAATTAACTACAAGCATTGACAAAGATGCAGCAGCGATAGGTAGTAGAAAAAATAGCCTAGACAAGTAACACCTCTTTGCAGAAAGCTAGATGATGGTGATACTAATGAGGAGGTTGCAGTGTATCTTCAAGTTTTACTGTCAAGGGATTTTTTTTTGTCAGCACGTAGGGGTCTTGCCATTAATTGCTACTATAACTTATTCTGTTTGTATGTAAGCAACAAAATGGTACATAAGAGTAAACCTAGCTCATAGGCTCTGATGGAGATGGTCATGTATTGTGCAACTCAGTCTATGGGAAAAATACTGTTTATGCTGCATGACTTTTGCAGGAGCTTTTCACTTTAGTAGCAGTCTCCCAAAAATGACTTGGGACAATGCAGAAAAATGAGTTCTTTAACTGAGTCATAAAACAGAAGACCTGAGAAATGCAGGACTCACCCAAGAGGAAATATTTTCTCAACAAAAACGTCTATGTGGCTTTTCACAGGCCTACATAATTTTCACTCTCACCCACACATGCTCAGAAACTTTGCTCCAAAAGCTGCTGGATGCTAGTAATGTTACTGCAAAGTGCTTACACTATATAACCACCATCATCTGGATATGTTACATTTGCAAATGTATGTTACATTTGTAAGTTTAAACTCAAGCTGTGTCCTAAATGCAGGAGCCCTTTAAAATTAAAATAGCCTGCTCATTCGAGGGTGTGACGGTATTAACACTGCTGTAGTGAGCTGCTTAGATAAGAGACTCCAGGGTTAGACACATGAATGGAGGTCTAGATAGGAGTTTTACTGATTTTGTTGGTTTGATGAGTGGTTCCTATGTAGAGGATGTGTCTGAGCGTGTTTCCTTCAAGGTTGCCTCTTTCTTATTTTGAATAGTGAAAGGTCAGAAGGAAACTCCAGATCCAAATATGTGTACAATTCTATTACTAAGCTTGTATTACTAAAAATTAAATGACTCATTAGGAAAAGTAAAATAGCATAGAATGAAAACCAAACTCTTGAAGGCACTTTCTTCATCTACAGCCGCAGAATGTGTGACCGTTTCTATGCCAGACTTCTTAGTCTACTAGCCTTCATCTTCAGAAAAACCCAAACACAACTGCAGACCTAATGCACCTGGTTAGTTAGTTGACCTGTGTGTGCATCTGTATGTGGATATAATAACTAGTGTAGCTAATGTTCACATCCACTGGCATTGAGAGGTATGCATGCTACAAGTAATACTAGGGTCTCAGAGAGCTGTGTTAGTCTGTAACTTTAAAGACAACAAGTAGTCCTGTGGCACCTTAGAGACTAACAACAAAATGTAGAATCCTGAGCTTTCATGGGTAAAGAAGCACTTACTGGATTGTACTTAGTTCTGTTTCCTTTTTCAGTTCTGGGAAGAGATAAGTGATGAGTAGTAATGAAAGAGTGGCAGAGTTCTGGCTGCAATGTGTAAACCTAGCTGAGCGAGTTAAAATGGCTCCTCCACACTCACTACCGTGCCAACTTAGCCTCAGAAGCCACAGCCACTCAGTGTATATAACCACACAGGCTGGGCCAGGTGCTACTTGTGTCAAAATCAGTAGCAGTCTTGCCATTGACTAGCATGATCTTTTGTATCTAACTTGTACAGTTGATGCCTAGAACTGTGAACACCTTTATTGTGTGGTGCTTATTGCTTTTGCTAATACATTAAAACTCCAATAGTCCGGCATCCAATTGTACGGCACTCTCGATAGTCTGGCATCAAAATAGCAAGAGCCCAGTGAGTGAGCTTCAGCAAAAAACAAGTCACGTGGCAGCAGCTGAACTGTGTGAAACAGGAAGGGACCGAGTCAGTCTGCCACTGGCATTGTGTGACGCTGGACAGTGCTTGTGGTTTTTTCCAGCTGTTTTGACTTATATTTTGAATATTTTTGCCCATCAGTGTGTAGTAATGGCATCAAAAGTGAATGAAGGTGCTAGTGGTAGTGCTAGTGGTAAGAAAAGTGTAAAAAGGAAGCATGTAACACTGACATTGAACCAGAAATTAGAGATTATAAAGATGCTAGAAAGAGGCATAAATTGGAACACTATCATGAGTGAATTTAACATTGGATCTTCGATGATCTGTTCTATGACATAAAGAAACAAAAAGATACGTTGTGAGCATTTGTTGCCGAAAGTGAAGTGCCTACTAAATGTACTGAATTACGGCAAACTCTGAAAAGGCCTAAGGTAGTGCAGTTGCATGTGGCTTTGTTTAAGTGGTTTACTGCAAAATGTTCTGAAGGTAAGCCCATTACTGGGCCAATGCTCATAGGAAAAGCAAAACTGTTTCACAGTGAAATGAATTGGGCCCTGAAGTTGCTATCAGCAGGCCTGCTTTTCCCCATGTTACAGTGTCTGTCATTAAATGGTGGGACTGAAGAAGCACTTACCTGATTATATTTTGTCCTGTTTCCTTTTTCAGTTCTGGGAAGTGATAAGTGATGAACATGGAATTGATGTCACTGGGAACTACCATGGTGATTCGCCACTGCAGCTTGAGAGAATTAATGTGTACTTCAACGAAGCTTATTGTAAGTGCTCAGAGTCTTTAGTGAGTTGGCTCAGCAAATTATAAAGTCAACATGGGAGAGTTAAAATAAAAAACACTGTGGGAAGACGGAACATTCACACTCACTGTTTTAGGAGCACACATCCCATTGCTTCCAATTGGAATTGTTCTCCTAAGTCACTTGCATGCTTTTGAAATAATCATCCTATATCTTCTCTCCCTATCCTGTAGTCCTTACTTGTTCTTACAAAGTGAAACTCCCACTGAAATCAACAAGTTTTCCTTATAAGCACTGCAGGAGTGGACCCGATCTTGATTGACCAATGAGGGTTTTTCTGGATTGTGACATTATTCTGTAATTATTAAAGAGACAATCAGTTCAGGAGCATGGATTGCACTTTGTTTCCCAATCACTGTTTCATTCATCCCTTTTTCATAGAATGTGCTGACTAAAAATTTCTAACCTGAGGAGATGTGATGTGTTGGAGTAGGATTTTGCCTGGCTACCTGCCAATTTACTCTTACTTTTCTTTTGCCACAGCCAGTAAGTTTGTACCCCGGGCTATCTTGATGGATCTGGAACCTGGAACCATGGACAGTGTACGATCCAGCAAAATAGGCCCACTCTTTCGACCTGATAATTTCATTCATGGTAAGTACACTATATCGTTAATAATATAAATATGTCATTATGTCATCTGAAGGGTATTTTTTAGTGTGCCTTCAAATTTTGTAAAACTGGTTTATACAAAAGCAAAGTTATAGAAACACACAGAAGTGTCAGTGTCTCTTTAAAATTCCACCTGCAAAACTAAGAAATGCATCCTATTCAAAACCAGGTTTTAAAAATATTGGCAGAAATTGTCTTTGTAATGTCAAGAAGTCAAATTATAAAATAGTATACAAAATGTTCCAATTAACTTAAAATTACAAAGATTGAAAAAGACAAGCAGATAAAAATTTATTTTCTTCAGTGTCCCTTTGCATATACTGTAATCACTGTCTGTATTTCCTGTGTTAGGCATAGAGTTCTTTTTTCACAGCAAAGTGGAGAAGAAAGCCTTTTTTTTAAATCAAAAAATATGCCAATAAAGCGATAATCCTTGAAAATGTCCTTTCTACATGTCAGTATTTGGTAGCATTTTTATTTTTACATTTGGCCTGGTAACTTTGTGGATGGTTTTCTGTAATTACAGGTAATTCAGGTGCTGGCAACAACTGGGCTAAGGGCCATTACACAGAAGGAGCTGAGCTGATTGACAGCATAATGGATGTGGTCAGGAATGAGTGTGAGAGCTGCGATTGTCTGCAGGGGTTTCAGCTCATCCACTCACTTGGAGGAGGCACAGGATCTGGTATGGGCACACTCCTTATCAACAAAATCAGGGAAGAATATCCTGATAGGATTATGAATACTTTCAGCGTAGTGCCTTCACCCAAAGTATCAGACACAGTTGTAGAGCCATATAATGCCATACTGTCCATCCACCAACTGATAGAGAACACAGATGAAACCTTTTGTATTGACAATGAAGCTCTGTACGACATATGCTTTAGAACCCTAAAGCTCCCCAGCCCCACCTACGGTGACCTCAACCATCTGGTGTCTCTGACCATGAGTGGTGTCACCACCTCACTCCGTTTTCCTGGCCAACTCAATGCAGATCTGAGAAAGCTGGCTGTTAACATGGTGCCTTTTCCTCGCCTGCACTTCTTTATGCCCGGCTTTGCTCCACTGACAGCTCGAGGCAGTCAGCAATACCGAGCCCTCTCAGTCCCAGAGCTCACCCAACAAATGTTTGATGCCCGGAACATGATGGCAGCCTGTGACCCTCGTCATGGACGCTATTTGACTGTGGCATGTATCTTCAGAGGCCAGATGTCTACCAGAGAAGTGGATGAACAGTTGCTGGCTATCCAGACCAAAAATAGCACCTATTTTGTGGAGTGGATCCCTAACAATGTGAAAGTGGCTGTATGTGATATACCACCACGTGGGCTGAAGATGGCGGCCACCTTTATAGGCAACAACACAGCCATCCAAGAGCTCTTCATTAGAGTTTCTGAACAGTTCTCAGCTATGTTCAGAAGGAAAGCGTTTCTCCACTGGTATACTGGTGAAGGTATGGATGAGATGGAGTTTTCTGAAGCAGAAAGCAATACCAATGATTTGGTGTCTGAGTACCAACAATACCAGGATGCCACAGTAGAAGTAGATGAATATCAAGAGGCAGAAGTGGAAGTCAGTCAAGAACAGGAAACATATGAAAAAGAATTTTAATATCAGAACACTATCCAAGAACATGTATTCAATTTACAGCTAAGAAAAAGTAGTAACACTGACCTATGTATCTGAAGGGAGAACTCTTAAAAAGTATCTGCTTTTCTCTGTATTAATCCAAAGTTTATACAGTGTATATACGAGCATAGTGATGCTGAAATTAACTCTGCCCGTTTTATGCCTCTTCCTTATAACCTGTGTCTGGTACAGCAAACCCCGGAGAAAGAACAATTAAGAGTGCAAGTTGTACTGTATCAGCCTTCTTTACACATGTACTAGCTTTAGACTGGTAGAGTCAGCTCTATCATGTAAGTGTGTTGTGTGTGACAAAAGTCATGATGATGAGTGTTGATATAATAGGCTCTAAAGTGTCATAACATTTATTTATTCTCAGGTAAATGCAGATTTAGGTTTTACATTTTGGAATTTGTTATTTTTAGAAGCACATATGTACAGGTTAGAACAGTAAGTACCCATGTTGTTCTGCACACCAATAAACAAATTGAATCAGTGTTTGTTAAGAAGTGTAGAAAAAAGTTTTAAGGTGCCTTCTAAAACATTCTTAACACACTGAGTGTCAAACAGTAGCATCACTTTATTTTTGTTTTGTATTATGGAAGATTTTTTGTCTTTACAATATTTGTATGTTTCATCTTCAATTAAATATTTAAACTGGTTTATTATTAGGTCATAGATTTGTGAACTTTATTTAAAAGTTTCTTTTGGCGTCCTCCCCTCTCCCTTTTATAGAATGTTTACAACTTTCTTTCTTATTGTTTGATACCATGAGCTAAACACAATGGCCTGCAACTACAGTAGTTTGTGATGTAACCTCAATGTCACAATTCAGTTTTCAAAAATTTAGGAAGAAGTTAGAAACAACAATGCATCACACTCAGAGACAAACCCGGTTACTTAACCATTCATAACACCATGGTGGTAGCTGCTATCTTATAAATAGTGTTGATGTTTTCTGAATCATTCCCCCACGTTAAATGAATATGTAACTGTTTACTCCATTTCTAATAACATTACAAGACTTTTTTGAAAATATTTTCCTTGTCTATTGTGTGTGCTTCTTAAACATTAAATCGCATAAAAACTCTAATGCCTACATTCCAGATACATTGAACTATTTAAATGAATGCATAGTTACAATGAAAAGAAAAAAATTGTTAGATTACTCATCCTTTCAAGCTCTAACTTTGCAACTTGCTTGGAGATGAAAAAATAACCTTTTCTAGGGTAGACTTTTAAAAGGAAAATGCAAGTCTTATTAATATGCAAATTCACTTAACACAGACCATTTAAAAGCTTACATCCCCTGGATATTAGAATCAACTAGTTCAGCTATATATGTTCTGAATAGGAATGTTAGATAGCACGTAATTGAATAGTCATGTAACTGCATTAAATTTTAGTCGTTACACAGCTATTCAGTAGTCTCCAGGGGCAGACTGGCAGCCAATGCGCACTAGACCCACTCCCGGGGAGTGCCCTGTTACCCTGTACTACTGTCTCTCTATCAGAGGCAGCAGCGGAGGTAGCAGGTGGGAGCTGGTCGTGAGGGGAGCCAGTTTAAAAAACAGCTTCCCGCACAGACCAGCTCCCGCCAGCCACCCTGCGCTGCTGACTCTGATACAGCACACAGCAGCCTTTGTCCACGGTGGGCCCCTGCTCCATTTGATGCTGGAGCAGCTTCTGTCCACGGGGAGTTTGGACTGCCCCCCATGAACGGGCGCTGCTGCCACCGAGCAGCCCTCCCCTGCACTGCTGCCTCTGATAGAGACAGCAATGCAGGAGGTGGCAGGCAGCACTGCAGAGCTAGTGCTGGGGGGAACCAGCATTTAAGCCAGCAGGAGGCAGTGGGGGAGCAGCAGGAGGCAGGTCTGCAGAGCCTGCACATGCAGAGAGCCAGCACAAAAGCTGCTCCACCACTGCCTCCTCAGCACTTCTGCCTCTCAGGAGCTCCTCAAGGGCACCAGCTCTCGCCTCCCCCCATCGCTGCCTTCAATTCAGCGACAGCAAGGTGGGAGGGAAGGGAAATGCATGTAGTCAACAGGATTAACCTATAAACTCAGGCTTATCTGTTAACTGTGTAGTTGTCTACACACTGACATCCCGTTATGAAAGTATTTAAAAAATGTGATTACATCTGTTTTTATGGCCTGTACCAACACAATTCGTGACATTCTCTTCATTTGGGTTTGATTACATGTAGATTATTCATTCCTCACTGTCATGCTACGAATAAGTTGAACCTATTATGAATGGATATGAGATACATTATTTTTCTCAGCCCAAATCACAAAGTTGATTACAGTAATTCCTTATTTAACACGTGCCCGCTTAACAAGTTTTCGCAATCGCCCGATTTTTATTTTTAGGGAACAATTTTTGAATTACACGACCGTCCCCGGAATAACACTGTTTCCCCAGCTGGCCCGTTGCCAGCGGCTGCACAGGGCTTCCCCTGCCTCCCTGCAAAGCGGTTGTGCGGGGCTTCCCCTGTTCCCTGCTGACTCCCCCTTGCTGGACACTTTGCCCCCTCTCCTCTGCCCCTGCTTGCAGGCCAGCAGCTGGGTTTCCCCAGCCGGCCCATTACCGGCGGCTGTGCAGGGCTTCTTCCTGCTCCCTGCAAAATGGCGGAGGGATCGCCGCTCACTGCACCATTCCCCACTGACTCCCTCTCGCCGGACGCCTTGCCCCCTCTCCTCTGCTCCCATTTGCAGGCCGGTGGCTGGGTTTCCCCAACCGGTCCATCACCAGTGGCTGCACGGGGCTTTCCCCGCCTCCCTGCAAAGCGGCGGAGGGTTTGTTGCTTGCCGTGCCATTCCCCAGGGACCCCCCCCCCCTCGCCGGACACAGTGCGGGTCCTGACTGATCCATCACAGGGGCATACGCCCAACCTAATCCCCCTCTCCTCTCCTCCCCCTTCCTTCCCCAGAGCCAAACACCTCCCCTCCCTGCTGTAACCCAGTCCCATTTCTCCCCCAAACTTCTCTCCTGATCCCAACAGACACCACTGTTTGAAACGCTTGAAACGCAACCCCCACCTTTTCCATTATTTTCAATGGGAAAATTGATCCCACATAACATGTTTTCACCTAACACGATCATTTTCTGAAACATATCTATAGTGTTAAATGAGGAATTACTGTACTGCTTATCTGTGGTTGAGCCAGTTCTGACCTATTTATAGGATTCTCTTGCTTCAAATGCAGACAAAAGAGTCTACTCTACAGCATTCTCTCTGTCAGGGAAAGGATCATTTAAAAAAACCGGTGAGATTTTCAGAAAAGCCAATGATTTTTAGGAAAAACTGCAACTTTACCTCAGTTCATTCAGTACAGTGAACAAAGTGTGGCTTATCTACAATAGGCTTTTCACAGATGTTAGCCAGCACATGTTAGTGAACATAACACCATTGCATCCTAACCCAGAAAATACTGTTGGCTATTTGAACATCCCAGCCAAAGTATTGTTCTCTGAGTATTACACTTTATCACCAATACATGTTCTAAGTCAGAGACCCAATTTATAGCATTATGCTTCTAAACCACAGCTTAGGTTAGCCCGAAAGAGTCCAAAGAACAGGTTCTGCTGAAGTATTTCATCTGTACAATGGCCTGCTTTGTCACTTCCTGGCTACAGGTCTACTCTTTGGCTTTCTGTTTGAGAAATGGACCTTGAACTTTGGCTAGATCACTGTATTACAAGCCAAGCAGCACTCAAGTTTATACATTCTATTAAGGTAAGTTTTTCCTTCTGTAAACACATTTGAATACAAGGAACCAAAACTATTAAAAACTTGTCTGAGATTTGTTTATGGTCCAAACTGAAATTCTTGACACTTCAGTTGTGTTAGTCTGGTAATAGCAGTGAACGCACCCAATGACCCAGCTGTTTCATATAACTAAACTTGGACAATGTTACATGGCTCACACATTCTGTTGTTGAATGATTAACACTGAAAAGACTTCTGTAGCAAAGAGATAAGTAACAAGTTAAGAATATGAAAGCCTCAATGACACAGTGAATTCTTAAAAGATGCTGACATGTCATGAAAACTAGATGTTTTACTTAATGAGAAACCTGCATATGCTACTTCCATTTGCCTAGCATAATATACAAATAGAAATTGCTGAATGAAGTCAGAATCTTAGATGGTGTTTGTCTACGTCATCTGAATAAGGGTAGGTACCAAAGTTGTGGGCCACACAGTCTGAAATGGTTATGAAAGCCACATTCTAGTTGTGAGACACCCTGGCTGTTTGCTGTATTTCCCCCTCTACTCCCATACCACTCTAGTTTGGTGAGCACATTTGAATATCCTGTACTGCGACCTATAGTAATGACAGTCAGAACACTGTCAACTTACAAGAAATGACCCACAGAATTAGCTGTGGTGTAGACATTCACTTCCTGTGAGTGTGCCTACACTGTGTTATGTGTTGACAAGTATTAAAGATAGCAATAGATGTTAAATTAATATACCTGTACCAATAGAGGCCAGATGTCTAAACATTAGGGCTGTGTCTACACTGGCGTGATATCGCACAAAAGCGGCAGCTCTTGCGTAAAAACTTGCTGCCTGTCTACACTGGCCGTGTGTTCTTGCACAAGTAAACTGATGTTCTAATGTATAAAATCAGGGCTTATTGTGCGAGAACTCTGATGCTGAAGCTCAGGAATAAACCCTTGCGCAAGAGCTCTTCCAGAAGAGGCCAGTGTAGACAGGCAACATGAATTTCTTGCGCAAGAAAGCCCTATGGTTAAAATGACCATCAGAGCTTTCTTGCGCACGAGAGCGTCTACACTCATAGATGCTCTTGCGCAAAAGCACATCTCTTGCACAAAACCATATGCCATTGTAGACGCTCTCTTCTGGAAGGCTGTGTCTAGACTGGCCAGTTTTTCCGGAAAATCAGCGGCTTTTCCAGAAAAACTTGCCAGCTGTCTACACTGGCCGCTTGAATTTCCGCAAAGCACTGACTTCCTACTGTAAGAAATCAGTGCTTCTTGTGGAAATACTATGTTGCTCCCGTTCAGGCAAAAGTCCCTTTTGTGCAAAAGGGCCAGTGTAGACAGCTCAGATTTGTTTTCTGCAAAAAAGCGCCAACCGCGAAAATGGCAATTGGGGCTTTTTTGCGGAAAAGCGCGTCTAGATTGGCATGGACGCTTTTCCTGCGGAAAAGCATCCGTGCCAATCTAGACGCTCTGTTCCGAAAATGCTTTTAACGGAAAACTTTTCCCTTAAAAGCATTTCCGGAAAATCATGCCAATCTAGACGCAGACGAAGAGTTTTTGCAGAAGAACTCGTCTGCAAAACAGTTTTTGCGTGAGAACGCGCCAGTGCAGACATAGCCTTGGGGAAGAAGTAGTAACTGAATGGTTTAAAAACTCCTCTCAGGCAATGTATTTAGTACTGGGGTTGCCAGAGTTGCAATTTCAGTAACAAACTTCAGCTGCACTTTGTCAAAGGCATATTTCATCACCTTCTGCTGGAACACTGTGGGATTCTCACTCTCTCCTGTAACTACAATGAACAGGATGGCTAATAAATGGCAGGGTCACAACCACTACGGAACCCTCCTCCGCATAGCCTTTTTTTAAATTGCCCCATAAACCATAGCAACCGTGAAGATTCAACAAGTGTGGCAAAATATGCTATTTACAAGCTACCCATAATTTTCAAGCATTTCGCTTTAGTGTGACTGTTGCATAAATTGAGGGAAAAAAGTGAGATTGTTAAATAGCACGAAAATTCTTAGGTGCATAAGTCCCAATGTACCTAAATAGTCACTTGGGCTCTTGAAAATCCCAGGCACAAACTGCAATGTAATTTCAAAGTGGAATTTTACCAGCAAGGGTAGCTTTATGGCTTTTTCTCAATTCTGACAGTGTAAAAAGGGATTGCATTAGAGAAGGAATTTTCCACCACGTCATATTGCCAGAGACCCTGGGTTTTTTTTGCCTGCCTCTGCAGCATAGGGCACAGCGCACTTGCACATTTAAGCTAGTGTAAAATGTTGGATTCACTAATATGACGTCTTTAAGTCATGATTTGAGGATTTAAGTAACTCTGCCAGAGGTTATGCGTACAGTAATTCCTCATTTAACACGGTAGATACGTTTCAGAAAACGATCGTGTTAAGTGAAAACGTGCTATGCGGGGTCATTTTCCCATTGAAAATAATGGAAAAGGTGAGGGTTGCATTTCAAGCGGTGGTGCCGAAGTCAATTTTCTGTTGGTGCTGCATCATCAACATTAGATGATGTAGCTGGCCCAGGGCTATCTTGTTCATCAGATGATCTTTTTTTAGGTTGAACATGAAAAAAAGCTTTTGACAGAGAGCTGCTTTGCTGCTTTTTGTTTTTCATTGTAAAGTTGCTGGTAGCAAGATAGAGCGCTTTCTAAGCTTTTCGCTACTTTTGAGCTCCATTCGCGATCAGGATCATTCTCATAAAAAATGTTTATTGCATCACTTTTAAGCTTAAATGCTTCAGCCATAACTTTCATTGATAATGTTCGAATAACTGGCTCAGCATGTTCAGGCTCATTTTCCAGCCACTGCTCATCCAGAAGCTTCCACTCGTCGATAGACAACTCCTCCCCATGAGAGTCGAGCAACTCTTGCACATCAGTAGCATCCACCTCCTCTAATCCTGCTTCATGGGCTAGGGCTACAATCTGCTTTTTAGCTTCAGCTAGTTTAGTGTCAAACTCCCTAAACTCATGAACACATGCAGGCGATATACGGCGCCAAACTGCGTTAAGGCAACTCGAAACTTCTGCCCAAGCCTCTGCTATATCTTCTTTAACGTTAAATTTTATCCAGAATGCCTTGACTGTAGGCTTATTCTCACCATCTGTCTGCCTTATAAGCCTAGCAAACGTATGGCGCAAGTAATACGCCTTGAAAGCAGCTATCGCTCCTTGATCAAACGGTTGAATTAATGAGGTTGTATTGGGGGGTAAAAATAACACACGAATGTTTTCTGACAGATCAGTAAAGCAAGGAGGATGCCCTGGTGCATTATCTAGAAGTAAAATTTTGAAAGCAAGATTTTCTTGCAAACAGTAGTCTTTCAACTCAGCAGTTAGGCGATTGCAAAGGTAGTCTGTGAAGATGCTTGCAGTTACCCATGCTTTCACATTAGATCTCCAAACAACAGGAAGATGATCCTTTGAATACCCAGTTAAAGTTCTAGGGTTGGCAGAACGGTAAACAACTACCGGTTTGAGCTGGCACTCCCTGTTGGCATTGGTGCATAGCATTGTACTGATATGATCCTTTGCAGCCTTAAAACCAGGTGCATAAGCCTCATCACGAGAGATGTATGTGCGTGCTGGTTTCGTACAGGTTAAACACGTGCTCAGACGAATAGCCACCTTTCTTTATAATAGCCTCAAATATTGCTGGGAATGAGTCAGCAGCCTCTGTGTCAGCAACAGCAGCCTCTCCAGTTATTTTTATATTATGTAAGTTTGAACACTTTTTAAAGCATTCGAACCAATCATGACTTGCATTAAATGACTTGGCATCAGTTTCATTCAATTCTATTTCAATAGCATCACATAAAGCTTTGGCTTTTTCCTGAATAACAGCCAAACTCACTGGCATCTTTCATTGTGTTTGGTCTTCAAGCCACAGACAATCACCTCTCCATATTTTTCCATTAGGTTAGATAGTGTACAAACAACCTTCTTCACACTTACTGGTGTTGCATTTTTGCAACATTCCTTAATTTTCTCAGCTTGGGCATGGATTGTGTGCACACTAGACTCATGCATATTCAACGCGTGAGAGTGGTCACAATTGCGTTCACCTTTTTTAATTCGCTTAATCACTTCAAGTTTCTCTTTTAATGTAAATGATTTTCTATGCTTCTCGCTTGCAGAAGCAGATGTATCACTTTCCTTACGCTTTCCACTCATAAGGGATACAGTAATACACAGCAAGATACAGTACAGTATCTAACAATTCAGTGCAAGACATCGCAGTTTGTTAACACAAGATAAACACGTGAGTGAGCGGAGGAGTGCTGTGACCGCATGTACAGTGTATTCATCTGCTCATGCGTACAGTACAACTCCCAATAGGGCATTAGCTGGAACCCGGAAGTGCTCCAGTCAGCCGCTCTCTCGGTGGGGCTGCTGAGAGCTGCATGTGCGCTCGCAGCTGCAGCCTGCACTTGTTAGCAGCTGGGACCAGGACATAAGGTTGGGGGAGAAAGGGGACTGGGTTACAGCAGGGAGGGGAGGTGTTTGGCTCTGGGGAATGGAAGAGGAGGAGAGGGGAGGAGGATTGGGTTGGGAGTACAGTATGCTCCCCGATGAGTTTGCCGGGACCCACATTGCATCCGGTGAGGTGGGAGGTCACCGGGGAACAGCACAGTGAGCAGCAAACCCTCCATTGCTTTGCAGGGAGGCAGGAGAAGCCCTGCACAGCTGCCAGTGAGGACGGTTGGGGAAACTGTGTTATTTTGGGGATGGTCATGTTATTAAAAAAAACATTCCCTAAAAACAGGATCAAAAGCAAGCTGTGTCCCTGCATGCACCCTTGCTGCCCCCCCCATGCTCCCAAAATTCTGCCTTTACCCCCTCCCTCCCAAAATTCCCACCTTTGAGGAGCTGACAGCTCCAGTTTTCCTTTTACCCTCCCAAAATTCCACATCTAAAGACCTGGCAGCTCCAGTGCTCCCTTTGGCCAGGAGATCCCCCTTGCTCCGTGGATGGTCAGGGTATGGAGGGGACAGGAGTTGAGGCAGCAGCATGGGCAAGCAGCAGCCAATGGGACCTGAGAAGTTCTGAACCCTGCAGTCTGCACATCCCTCAGCCCACATTGAAGCTGACAAGCCATGACTGTGTTCTGCAGTCAGCTTATGAACAAGTCAGTCACTTTTTTCCTTTTTTGAATAGAGCACACTGCTCAGAAGCTACTAGAGTGGTGAGCAGGGTGTAGTTGGGCTAGCAAAGAAAAAAAAAACACGACTTGAATTGTTTCCACTTTTTTTTTTAAATGCAGCTTGGTGCAATTCTACGTTCTTCAACAGCATTTCTGGAATTTTTAACTTTGGTCTTTAAGTTGTACTAGAACGTTCTGCTTTCCTGCAGAAGTTTTAAGGAACTTTTCAGCAAGAAACAGTTCTTAGAATCACATATGCTTTTGTGCACATATAACCTCAATCCTGACCTCAGCTGCTGAACAACCTGGGAAATAAGTTATCTATGCAGTTAAAGAGACCTCCTTTGAGTTTGCTAAGGAAAGGCCCTTTCCTTACCTGGCCCCTTGGTCTGGACAGGCATTGTAGGAAAGAGGACGCTAGTGCCAAAGTCAAAAACAATAAGGCTATGTCTAGACTGGCATGATTTTCCATTAAAAGCATTTGCAGAAAAGAGCATCTAGACTTGCGGAAAAGCATCCATGCCAATCTAGGCACGCTTTTGTGCAAAAAAGCCCTGATTGCCATTTTCGCAATTGGGGCTTTTTTGCGGAAAACAAATCTGAGCTGTCTACACTGACCCTTTAGCGCAAAAGCTTTGCGCAAAAGGACTTTTTCCCCCAAACAGGAGCAGCATAGTATTTCCGCAAGAAGCACTAATTTCAGACAGTAGAAAGTCAGTGCTCTTGCGGAAATTCAAGCGGCCAGTGTAGACAGCTGGCAAGTTTTTCCGCAAAAGCAGCTGCTTTTGCAGAAAAACTTGCCAGTCTAGACGTAACCCTGGGCTACGTCTACACGGCAATGTTTTTGCGCAAAAACCTGCAGAGGGTCCACACCTCAAATGCACTTTTGCAGAAGTAAATCAACCATAAAACAGCAGAACACAGAGGACTTTTGGCAGTGTAGGTAAACCTTTTACAAGGCAGAATGCCTTTTTGCACTACAGCTGTGGCTCAAAAAAAACAAGCATAGACACACTGCAGGGCTTCTTGCGCAAATAGAGCCTATCCATTCTGTGAATGGCCATCAGAGCTTTCTTGCACAAGAGCGTCCATGGAGTGTGGATGCACTTTTGCACAAGAAGATTTTGCACAAGAGCTCTTCCACAAGATTTGGTCTTTAGGTAATCACGTACGTTAGAGCTGTTAATGTACCCAAAGTTTACCATTTCTTTAATGCAGAAGTTTATTTAATGCTCACAGTGAACTGGGAAACTCCTAATGGTAGTCTTGTGCTTGTGTTTACTCTCGCTTCCCCTCCCACTTTTAAAAAAGCTTTCTAGATACCAGGAATGTCAACTCTACCATCCTTGGATTTTAGTGGCAGATTTGTTGGGAATGAAGGGATATCCCAGAACTTTTACTGTGAGCACTTCAAAGTAGACATTCAGTATTTACAAGACAGGCATCTTTTTCCAAGATGTTTATTAGACACTGAAGTTAAGTAGGTTGAGTAGCTTGAATGAAAATCTGTTCCCCTTTCAGCTTTTATTACACTCAAGTTCACCATTTAATTAGTACTGTATTAGCTAAGCCCCCTAGTGTATGAATTTCAGACAAAGGCCACTCAAAAATTCCTTTAAGAAAAAGTCTAAATGATTTGCCACAGAGAAACACACAGAAGTAAATGCCCCTGCCAAAGACAGTAACTCATGCTTTCAAGAGAAGCCACAGGAATTGCTATGGCCATGGTGAACCAGAAGCTGTTTATTAGCATGTTGATTTACACATCCAGACAGATTTTACAGCTAACATGAAGAGACTATTGCACACCTGCAGACCCATGACCTAGTCTTCACTTGATATTTTGTCCATACAGGCCAATCCTATAAGAGAGTTAAAAAATGTATTAAGTCATTTGCTTAAGGTGACAGAACATTAGCTTTTGCAGTGCATTTCTATATAAAAGGGTAGTCTTCATAATGGGGGATGGGAAAAGAGTTGAAAAAATACAGGAGCAGAACTTTTGCGCTTTAATTTATACAACTGCTAAGTCTCCTCCCTTACTAGTCATCCTTCAGGCACAGAAAGACTAAAGAGAAGGGTGCCTGGAAAAAAAAAAAAAAAAACAACCAACCCACCCACCTTACTTTGGGCTACTTTTGCCAAGGGACAGCAATTCTGGGAGCTATCTGGGACATCTTCTCACATAGGAGATGAGATCCAGGTTTGAATCTTTGATTTGGAGTAGGAACTTGAAACCCGACTCTCAGACATCCCAGGTGACTACCTCAGCCATTGAATTAGAGAATCACTATTTCTCTCACTCTAGCTCAATGATTTATTTGATGTGGAACAGACCCACCCATGAATATCTAACAGCTGAGAGGTTAGGTTCAAGTTCCTGCTCCAAACCAGAGAGTCAAACCATGGGCTCCCATTTCCCATATAAGAGCCCAGTTACTGGGCTATTTAAGTCTAACCCTTTGCATTCAGAGGGCAGAGACACTGCAAAGCTGAAATTCTTTACTTGTAACTGATGATCCTAGCTCAGCTGCTTATATATTTCAGTTTACCTTTATTTGCACATTTTAGATAACACTGATCTAACATCTTGAAGAATTACACTACGCAGACATGGCTCCTATCAACATAAATACAATGGGAGATTGTGGCCATCATACTGAAAAGAAACATGGCACCTTGACTGACAAAAGGTAGACTTCAGTTATATGAAGTCTTTTGACTGGAACTGCAGTGTATTTTCTGGTTTTGTCTTCTAAACACATGTTAACACTAGACTGCTCATCCATAGTCATTCCAGTCCATAGGTAAGGTATCTGGAAAAACTCATCTTCAATTACTTGACATGTACATGGCCTAACAAGTAAAAGGATAAGCAGAAACACAAAACATTTGCTTTGCTCCAACAGAAAAACAACGTAGATGAGATTCATCTCATCCTGTTAATCATCTGAGGAAGACTTATTTAGGAATGTATTTTATCTGTGTATTAAGGTGGGGGGAGAGGAGGAGTAGAGAGAGAACAGAGTTCAGAAAGCAAAGCAATACCTGTTTTGTTCAAATAAAGTGGAGAAATTCTTAAGAAAAACAGCAAGTTAAGCTGTTAAGACATCTATAAAAGTTTGACTCAGCCAGACACATACAAAGCCAAAGTCCCCACAATCTGAACTCTTGTTTGAAGGCTCAGGCGCTCTCATTTTAGTGAGCTCAGATTATATACTTTCTTCCAATCCCTGAACTGGTAGTCCACGAAGTCTGCGCATCGCTCCAATATGCGAGTTAACAACCACTGCAATCAATTTTATGCACCAAAAACTGGACTACACTTTCTACACAGCATACCAGCTATATGCAGATTTTTTTTAAAATTGTTAATCTGAAAGGGAGGGAGAGGAATCCTAAATATCAATCACCCTGAGAAGGCGATAAGGGAAGTAAACCCCCCTTCCCACAACATTTACTTACATCTTACTCCTTTTTAGGTTTTACTATTTTTACAGTGGCCACAGCAACTCTCTCTGCCTCAGCTTTGTATTGTGGCTTCAACGCTGCCCTGACAGCCTTGGCACAGATCTGGGAGTAGCGGATGTAGCTGGGAAGAGGAAACAAAAGGGATGAAAAATCAGGGGCGGCCCAAGAACAACAATGATCAGCTCCAGGGACTCTAGCGCTGCTGGGAGCCCCCCGCGAACTTTCCCGCGGCGCACAGCAACTCTCTCTGCCTCAGCTTTGTATTGTGGCTTCAACGCTGCCCTGACAGCCTTGGCACAGATCTGGGAGTAGCGGATGTAGCTGGGAAGAGGAAACAAAAGGGATGAAAAATCAGGGGCGGCCCAAGAACAACAATGATCAGCTCCAGGGACTCTAGCGCTGCTGGGAGCCCCCCGCGAACTTTCCCGCGGCGTTTTTAGACGGCTCCTTACGCCACAGCCCCTCTGGTGAGC